TGTGTCTTTTGGGTAGATACCTAGGAGTGGGATTGCTGGGTCGTAGGGAAGCTCCATGTTTAGCAGTTTGAGGAACCTCTAAACAGTTTTCCATGGTGGTTGTACTAGTTTGCATTCCCACCAGCAATGCAGGAGAGTTCCTTTTTCTCCCCATTCTTGCCAACATTTGTTGTTGCTAGTTGTTATAAGATACGCCATTCTCACTGGTGAAGGAACTATTACTGATTTTTTAAGCAAACATGCAGAAACAACTTCACTTCTAGAGGCAAAGGATGATAGATTATTATACCTGTTGAACAGGATGAAAAAATGTGGGCGAATAGTGCAGTGAGGTAGATTTGTTAGCAAGACAGTTGTAGAATTAGTGTTGGGATGTCATATACTTTTAGCAGAGTGTGACAGATACTCTTATTATTATAATAATTGCCAGTGACTTGAAAAGAAGTATAGATTTAATGATTAAATGGAAAAAGCATGAGATTGGGGAGAAAAGTAGTAATATGGAATGAAGACGGCATCTAAAATGATCTCTGTTGACTGAAATGATGTACCATGCCTAACGAGATGAATTATGGTGACAGACACATTTGTATAGCTCCTTGTGGTATACAAAGCATTTTCACACTCCTTATGTCATCTGAGCTAGTGGTATGCAGTATCCCTGTTTTAGCAAAATAAAACCTGAGAACTTTTAAATAGTAGTTGACCCAAAATCACATTTGCTTTGTTTTGGTGGTGGTGATCAGTTTTTTGATGTGTGTGTGTCTTTTTTCTTTGCTGTTTTTCAAAATGAATTTCAGCTTTATCTTGTTCAGTAGTCAGCTCTTAGTGACTGTCTTATGCCTTTGTGTCTGTATGTTTTGCAGCTATATTGAAGTATAGTTAATATGTGATAAATTGCATGCATTTAAAGTGTGCAGTTGGACTAGCTCTGATAATATGAATATATTTGAGGAACCATCATCACAATCAAAAAGAAGTATTAAGTCCAATTTTGTTGTGTACCTTTGTAACTAAGCCCCCTTTCCCCACTCTCTTTCCCACTCACATTCTCAGTTAGCTTTATCAGATTTTCATATGAATAGTCACACAGAATATTCTTTCTTGCCTTTTCAGTAAAATAATTTTAAAATTATTGATATTGTTGCATGTATTAAGTTTGCTTATTTGTTTTGTTTTGCTCAGCAATGTTTCACTGCATAGCTATGCCACAATTTGCTTATCCATTTGCCCAGCAATACATTTTTGAAATGTTACCAGTTTTTGACTATTACAAATCCAGCTGCTGTGAGGATTCTTCTGTAGGTCTTTGTTTAAACATGTCTCCAGTTCTCTTGGATAAATAACAACTCTGGGGCACATATGCTTCATATGATAGTTTACTTTTCTTTTCTTTTTTTTTTTTTTTGGCGTAGAACTGGGGTATAGGCCAGAGGTATGAGGGTGTCAAGAGAATTCACCAGAGACAGAGTGGGAGCAGAACAGGTGAATCTACTGCAATACACTGCTGAGAGGAGCAGTGGGTGAGACAGGAGATGTCTGCTGAGTCTTATGTAGATTAATTAACTCCCTGGCCAGGGATCATTAGACTGTAGGTATGATAGCGCTGAGATTTAATACTTCACTAAGGAGGTGCAGACGGTTTACTTCTCAAGAAGCTATTAAACTTTTCCAAAGTGATTTTCTAGTTTATATTCCTATTTGCACTGTATAAACATTCCCCCAGTTGCTCTACATAATTCCTAGCTCTTGATACAGTCAATCTTTTTTATTTTAGCCATTTGGTGTCTTACTGGTTTATATTTGTATGTGTATATTCATGCATTTTCTCTAATGAAAATAGTGTTATGAATTATGGAATCAATATTAATAACATTGGGGCTCCAGGTCATACAGACAAGTAAATAAGTTGGCTATACTGGTGAAAGAGAAAGGATACGCTAAAACATGACAGAAGTGAAGCATAAGGGGCTATATCATAGTCAGCATTAAAAAAAGGGCACTACAGAAGACAGGAAACTTGCATTTAGATGAATTATAATATTTTAAAGCATATTCTTTCCTTATTTACGTTAAGAAATACCTTGCAAAATTTTAGCCAGTATATAGAACTTAGAATATTTTCTCCAGTGGTCAAAATGTGTTTAAATTTTGTGTCCATTTTATTTATTTATTTTTTTGTAATGATGTTACTGTTCTCTGAGTAATCACACCCATTTTAATTTAATTTACAGGTGGCCGTTTGTTGCATCTGTTTTTTTGTTATTCTTCCTCTAAATCTTGTTGGTACAATACTTGGCCGAAATCTGTCAGGTCAGCCCAACTTTCCTTGTCGTGTCAATGCAGTGCCTCGTCCCATACCGGAGAAAAAATGGTAAAAAGAATGTTAAATTATATATGATTGTTGCTCATATAAGCTCTTAATATATATATATATATAGACATGTATTGTCACCAGTTATATTTTATTAGCTTAGGTTCTTTACCTTCACTTCTGGTTAATATAAATCTCTCAAATTCATGTTTATTATTGACATGTATTGTCAATATATATTGTGTATAGATATTGACATGTATTGTAAGGGTAACTATCTTAAATTTGAAATTAAGAATTTATTGTTTTTCTTCCAGCCTGTGTTGTATCCTTATTTCACTTTCCAAATATTGATACCATTTACAGATATGTCAAATGTTTTGATAAGTAGACTACTTTGTAGAGATGGTTGGGAACTAAGGTTGCAACTGAGTTTTATTACTACAACCTCTAGGCCAAATTTCATCTGCTGCCTGTTTTTGTAAGTAAAGTTTCATTGGAATATAGCCAGGCTTCTGATCGCATATTGTCTGTGACTGCTTTTACATTGCCAACATCAAAGTTCAGTGGTTGACAGAGACCACCTTCAAAACCTGAAGTGTTTATCTGAGCCTTTACAGAAAAAGTTTGCCAACTAGTGGCTCATAATTTCATTTTCCTTTCCAAATATTATTTAAACAAAATTGATACCCATTTATAATCACACATACTCTATCAAGGGAGAGATGAATTTGCGTTGAAACCAGTTATATTTTATTAGCTTAGATTCTTTACCTTCACTTCTGGTTAATATAAATCTCTCAAATTCATGTTTATTATAAGTATGCACAAAATGTGTTTTTGAAGACCTCCCATAATTTAAGATTAATCCTGTCAAAGAATGACACGTATTTTTGTTTAACAACTGAGAGATACCTTTATAGCAGAAGTGTAGTTCAACCAATTGGCTTGGAAATTCCTGGTGTTTTTTAATTTGAAATTATTTGTTTTTTTTTTTCTAATTTTGAACATAAAATAAGCGATTATTTTTATACTTTTAATTTTTGTAATTCAAATTTTAAATGTGAATTCATACATTTATATTGATTTTTCAGATTAATGAGTTCAATATTTTATTGTTGATTTATGCTATTCTGCATTTTTTATTTTCCTAATTTTTCATAGCAAGCAAAAATAAAAGTCTTACTGTACATTTATTACATTTTCCATCTTCTCATAAAGTACAGTAGATTCTATCTACTCATACCAAGGAATATGTTTTAAAAAGTCTCTGATACAGATATTTTACCACAACAATAAAATGCAGCTTATCTTAGGTACTTTTCAAGTAGTAGTGTATAGTCGGAGATACATAGACAGTTGGAGAAATGCAGGCTGAATGAAATGGCCCTTACAGTTTAAAGGAGAGTGTTTTATTCAGACTTAGGAATTGTCTGTGTATCTGTTTTCTTAGATTTATGGTTATGAGAACTTCAATAGTTTGTTTTTAAAATTATTTTTTTTTCAAATCAAGATGAACTAGAAAGTTAAAGGCCATTTGTATCCATACTTTCACATTATTGGGAAGAATAAGGTTAAAGGAAAGACATAATCAGAAATTAGAAGCATTGCTCTGGGCCTCTAGGGCTAATGTAAGGAAGAGGAAAGGACAATGCATGACCTTGCCCATATCTCTGTGGCGCACTTACTTGTAAGCATGTGTGCTTCTTCATTTTCTTTAGATAGCAGCCACACTGGAACCAAACTCTGAGTACTAGGTCTGGCTGTCACTGACTTTTGGGGGGGCATTCATACCTCTGTGGATCTTGGCTCCCTATAAAATGAGGAAAGAAGGCTAGACTAAGACTAAAATGATTTTTTAAAGTTTTTTTTCCGACTCTCAATTTCTTTGATTTTCTTCTAAGGTTTTTAGTGCTTTCCAGAGATAACTAATGTAGTATCTTTTATGTGCTGGGCATTGGGAATACCTTGATGAATAACTTCTGTCTGTTAAGGTTTGTACAACAGGGCTCTAATTAGACAGTTACAGCAGTGTGTGGACAGCACTGTGATGGAGTTCTCTTCAAAGAGTGGAAGCATGGGAGAAGGACTTCTCCCTCTGCCTAGGGGGACTTGGGGGAAATGTTAACTAGAAATACCTTGGGCCAGTGTTTGCAAAAGTATAAGATGACAGAAGGCATTGCAAGTGGAGAACTACTAGTTGTCATTAGTAAATATTTGTGGAGTGAAGTGAGATTTAAATTTTATTTTTTTATTTATTCTTTGGCTCCATTATAACTCAGAACTCATCACACCTTAACTGTGTGTCTCAGAAAGAGAAATTACCAAACCAAAGAGAGTAAGAGAAGAGATAGAAAGTCCACAATTCGGAAAACATTTCAGATAGATATCTCAAGACATAATTTTCTTATGGCTTTCAATAACTAAAAAATATATATACATAAAGTTTTTGAAGGTATGGAGAGGTGTAGAGTGTATGCAAACACTTTCTAGAGTTCTCCAGTGCCAAGAGTGTGACAAGATTTCCCCAGATTTTTATTTTAGCCTTTAATCCTGGAAAAAAATTCAGTAATAACATAGCTAATTTGAAATCTTCTTTTCTCTGGTTTGTTTCTATCCTTTTGGTTAGTTTAAAATACCAAGCACCTGCTTTCAATTACCAGAATTCATGTAATACGAAAATCATGTGAGAAGTTAACTACTAATTTTAATATTTTCCAGGTTCATGGAGCCTGCAGTTATTGTTTGCCTGGGAGGAATTTTACCCTTTGGCTCAATCTTTATTGAAATGTAAGCTTGGGCAATGTATTTGTGTTTTCAGGGATTTAAATGTACTGAGAATTTATTTATGAGTTAGAATAGGTATAGATGTGTTAGATGGAAAGACATCTAGCAGATTTAGTCTGTTAATTCCACGCCTTAGAGAAGGTGGTCTGTGTAGCTATTTAAAAGTAGTTTTCTTCTCTGTCCTCAAATACTTAGGTGGAGTTTAGACTTTTTGTATTATGTTCTAGACCTTTCTCAACAGGAGAGAATAGAAATCAGCCTTTGATCACATGTGCACTAAGTAAGGAGTTACTGGATTTTTGTTGTATTTTTAAAATATTTGAAGGTCCTTGGGAACTAAGTAAGCCGGAAGTCAGTCAGGGCCTAGTCCTCCAAAGACTCACCAACCACACCAATAAAATGCCACTCATAGGTGCCTTGATGAAATACAGGTCATGTTGTAGACTGACTGCTTGTTTTCTGATGTTCCCCACTAAACAGTAATTCCATGAGGGTAGAGATATGTTTTTTTAAATAATATAATAGTTTATTTTTACATCATTTTGAGCCTTTTTCCATCTCAGTTGTAATCTGCATGGGCTTCCCACCACCAGTTCACCTATGTGCCATCACCATAATTCAGTGCACTTTACCCCCTCCCCCCATTTTTGATCCAATTCCCCACTCCACCCCCATAAAATGTCTCTGGTATATAGTTGTTTGTTATTATTATTATTTTCTCCCCTGGTCCTTTATACTCCTGCAGTGAGTGAAATCATCCGGTATTTTTCCTTTTCTTTTTGGCTTAGTTCACTAAACATGGTCTTTTCCATCCCCATCCATGTTGCTGCAAAAGGCATGGTGTTTTTATCTTTTTTGATTGCTGAGTACTATCCCATTGTATATATGTACCACTTTTTATTTCAGTCATCTACTTTTGGGCATTTGGGTTGTTTCCATGTCTTTGTTATTGTTAATAAAGCAGCAATAAACATGGGGGGTGCAGGTGTCTTTTTGAATCATTGTTTTTGTGTCTATTGGGTAGATACCTAGGAGTGGGATTGCTGTCATGTTTAGTTAGCTCCATGTTTAGTTAGCAGTTTGAGGAACCTCTAAACAGTTTTCCATAGTGGTTGTACTAGTTTGCATTCCCACCAGCAGTGTAGGGAGAGTTCCTTTTTCTCCACATCCTTACCAACCAACATTTATTGTTGCTAGTTGTTTTAAGATGTACCATTCTCACTGGTGTGGGTGGTATTTCATTGTGGTTTTAATTTGCATCTCCCTTATTACAAGTGATATTGAATATTTTTTCATATGCTTGTGGGCCATCTACATTTCTTATGAGGGTAGAGATTTTCTAGTCATTAGTCTTTTTGCTAGCCTATTATGTGGTTTTAGGACTCTGTAATATCTGTTAAAATGAGTTATGACAAAAAAGATGAACAAGAAAAGAAGGGAACATGAAAAAAGAGTCTAAAATCCTGTACTTATTTAAGAATGTCTTAAGTAAAGGAATTGTTGTCAAGGGTCTTTCTTAGTGTAAAATATTAATGCCCTTTCTCTCACTGTCTTCTGAAAATAGCATGAAACTTCTTTTGGTTATCCCTCTCCCCCCCCCCCCAGTTACTTTTATTTTCCTACTTTTATATGTTATTACCCTGTCAAACCTATTTTATTATATAATAAGATTCTCTGTAAAATACAGAGTATCCCTGTTGGCACTAGGATTAAAGTTTCAGTGCTATCAAGCTATCACCAGCCACTACAGTATGAGTTTGATCCCCTATCCTTGACCAGAGAGGTGACCTACATGGCACAGCAGATCTCTCCTGTCTTGCCTCCTGCTTCCCTCAACAGTGTGTATCACTAGAAAAATCCACCTGTTCTGTTCCCTACTCTGTCTTTGGTGAAACCTCTCATAGCCCTGCACCTCTGGCCTATACCCCAGTTCTTGTAGGCATATATAAATTTAAAAAATCTTTTAAAAAGGTACATAATCTTAATGTCTGCAAAAAGTGAAAGAATGAGGGAATTGACATTATTTTGCAAATTTTTTTATCTGTCTTGGTTTTGCTTTTCCTCATTTTACTTTAAATTTCTTATGTGTTGTTTGCTTCAAGATGAGTGCTTTATTAAAGAATCAGTTCTTGAACAGTTAGCCCAGAAAATATTTTTGAGAGAATTTAATGGATGGGAAAAAATAAGGGAAATTGTTAGAAGTTACTTGAAAAACAAATATTGAGATTTAAGTGAGAAAAAGGTGAGATCTAAGATGCAGTTGAGATACATCATGAGCTGGTTAAGTTTTAAGAGTAGACTAGAAAACTGTCTTCATTGCATTTTATGTAGGTATTTCATCTTCACATCTTTCTGGGCATATAAGATCTATTATGTCTATGGCTTCATGATGCTGGTGCTGGTCATCCTATGCATAGTGACCGTCTGCGTGACCATTGTATGCACATACTTTCTACTAAATGCAGAGGATTATAGATGGTAAGTCGTGGGAAGGACTTTCAAATAAAATTCCATTTGAAGTATGTTGAATGGTGAAAAAGAACAACTTGAGAAATTTTGCTACTTAATATTTTTTTCGGTTATAAAAAGATGAGGATTTTTGAAACAGTTAACAGGCAAAAAAAAATTGTACTATTGAGGATCACTATTAGAAATATGTTGTACAGTCAGCTTGATAATAGTTTTATGAAAGGAAGCACTGTGCTACTGTAGACACAAGGACACAGCACCTGAAAAGGCTGACGGTTGCTTGTATAGAGTCACAGCACCCAGGCTGTGTCCTTCTAACACTAGCCTCTCTGCTGATACATTTAAATGCTTTGTACATACACTTGCTTTTTAAAATGCAGAACTTTAAAGGATGCTCTTTATAAAATTCTTTGCTGCAAGATCTTTGTTTTAATGCCATTCACTCAATAGCCTCCTTTCTTCCCCCAGGCAATGGACAAGTTTTCTCTCTGCTGCATCAACTGCAATCTATGTTTACATGTATTCCTTTTATTACTATTTTTTCAAAACAAAGTAAGTCAAGACATTTTCTTGGAACAGCTTTTCATTTTGTATTCGGGAAACTAAATTTGTCTCTTAAACACTAGAATTTAAGGCTTTATGTTGAAAGTAAAAATGGATCCACTACACAGAATTATTTTGTTTTATTCCAGGATGTATGGCTTATTTCAAACATCATTTTACTTTGGATACATGGCAGTATTTAGCACAGCCTTGGGGATAATGTGTGGTAAGTACTGAAATTCTTGGAGTACCATGAGTAAATCATCGAATGTTTCAGAATCAAAAAATACAGTATTGGAATTATAAAATTGTATTCTATTGTTAAATCAGTAACACCAAAATAACTAGAGTCTGATTTCTGTCCTTTTAAATATCCTGTCAAACCTAGTTTACCGCCTTGTTACAAATTATTCTGTATGGTGCTGTCCCACATTGTATCATAATTAGTCTCTCACGTATTTTGAGAATGGCATTTTTTAAGGTCTCAATTCATCAGGAAAGTTTATGATGTAAAGAGGTTAAGGTGTTAATGGAATGATTTCTGTTCTGAAGCTTATTGAACAGTGTCTGGGAAGTAGCAGTTTACTGATTGTGACTACACACTTCGGTGTCTGCAGAGGGGCCTCAGTTCTGGCTGTGCCACATACATGTTCTGGAGTAAATCTCATTTTCTCATTGGTAAAATAGAGATATCTTTTTAGAGTTGTTATTTGTAATAGTGTCCTGTGTCCCACGTTAGACGTGAATGTAACTTGATAGCCATGTTTGTATGGACAAATTTTTAACCTTTCTTCCTTAGTGTTTTCATTTTCTTTTTTTTAAAAAAGATTTATTTAAAAATCTGTGCATACAGAACTGGGGTACAGGCCAGAGGCTCAGGGGCAGCGAGAGGCCTCACCAGAGGCAGAGTGGGGAGCAGAACAGGCAGATCGACGAAGTACACTGCTGAGGGGAGCAGCGGGCGAGTTAGGAGAGGTCTGCCGTGCCATATGGTCACGTGACTCCGAGGCAGGCAGGAATCGAACTCATGTGGAAGTGGCTTTAGCTTCTAGTGCAGTGCTATAACCTGCTGTGCCACCAGGGAGGGCCCACTGTTTTCATTGTCAAAATAGAAGTAACACCTGCCTCATAGCTATGATAAGAATTCAGTGATTGAATGTGGGGAAACATCAGGTAAATAGTAGGTGCTCAGTGAGTGGTGGCCACTGTTTCTTGCTAATAAGGCTAAAGACGTTCTTGGTCTTCCTTGTATTCTGGAATTGTTAAATGTCAGAGTCTACTGTTCACATGCATCATGTATGTGATTATGTGTGAGCATACACACAAGTGAGATTGACTGTAAATGAGTTAAACTAATTCTTCAAGCTATAAGCGAGGACAATTCTCTGTATTGTGATCACGTTTTATTTATAGGTGTTGTGATAACCTTTTCACTGATAGTTAGCCAGCTTCGACAGAAAGTTGAGTAGGAGCTGTGGCTGTCACATGGAAACATTCTCATGTATTCCTGGGCCCTCAGGAGATTCATTGTCCACCCTTCCTTAAGAATATTGCTCACTGAACTACTCTTATTTAAAATGAGATTTTTCTTGATTATTACCAGCATTTGATGCAGCATAGAATCATGTCATTATGCAGAGGGTTAATATTTTTTTCTTGACTCTTTCTACTTGTGATCTTAGGAAGATTTAGATTTGGTAGTATCGACATTTCCAGTGAAAATGGAATAAATTTAATTAATTTTTTTGAGTGCTTCTTATGTTGAAATTTCTTTTTGCTGTTTGAAAATCTTGGCATATTTATACAGTTCCTTGCCATCCTGGCAATGTCCCAGCTTTTACTCCTTAATCAATTTCTATGCCTGCACTACTGAGCTAGTTTTTTTTGGGGGGTAAGGGGAGGGAGATGGGAAACAGTTCAAATTGTAATTGTTTGAAATACAAAAAGTTATATGTACCTATGAAGTAATAACTGCTGTAGAGTTTTTTTTTTTTTTTTTGGTTGGTAATGGAAGGGAAAATACTTGATTTTTTTGATGTAGAAAAAAATTACTTTTTAAGGAGACAAGTTATTAGATTGTTATAACATTATGTTTTGAGCAAAATATTTTACTTTTGAGGAAATTAAGTTTAAAATTGTATGTCTTACTCCTGAGATACTTACTTTTCTAGAGTACTCAATATCCTCTTTCATAGAGATTTTTATAATAATTTTTCTAAGCTTATTCTTGAGATACTTATAAAATTAGGAGAAATTATTCTCTAGGTTGAAACTGTTTTGCTCTCAAAAGGGAGCCTTTTTTTTTAATCTGGAGGATTAGACTAATGTTATATTATACCAGTTAAATTTTTGGTTCTACTTACAGTTGACATATAATACTGTTTCAGTACATGTATATAAAAAAGGTAAGTAAAATTACACAGTCAACCATTTAGTTATTATACACATTGACCCTGGTCATCCTCACTTTTCTTAATAGTTTGTCTGTTTGCATCAAACATGCACTGCTTGGTGAAAATGTCTCTTTTTATCTGTTGACCACCTTACTTTTCCTTGAATTTTAAGAAACTTTTTTTTTTAAAGATTTATTTATTTATTCATACAGAACTGGAGTACAGGCCAGAGATGCGGAGGGTGGGAGGAGCCACCAGAGACAGAGCAGGTAGCAGAACAGGCAGATCAATGAAGTACACTGCTGAGGGGAGCAGTGGGCGGGTCAGGAGAGGTCTGCCACGCCATGTGGTCACCTCCGCGGCAGGCGGGAATCGAACTCATGCAGAAGTGCCTTTAGCTTCTCAGTGCTATGCTTTTACCCGCTGCGCCACCAGGGAGGGCCAGAAACTTTTTTTTTTGTTGGATTTTAAATCTGTGTAGTTTCCACATAATGATTTTTTCTGGTTATATAGTTGGGGTGTCATTTGCTATTTTTCCATGTGAAAGCTTTCCATGCGTGTTCCCTCATGTTTCTTGTAAAGTGGCACGTAGATCTAGTGACTTGATCATAATTAAAATACTTACCTAGCTGGTTTGTAAACTTTAATCAGGAAGTACTTGATGTCTGGTTGTCTTACTTTTTTTGTAGGCTAGCAACCGTTGATTGTTGTTGGCTAACTAAATGCCTTACTAGTAATTCTAATACTCTGACTTTGTTGTCATTTTATATTTAATCACATAAGGAGGAGCTTCCTTTTACCAACCATAGAATTATTTCTGTCCTTGTACATACCAGTTAGGTGAATAAAAGTTCAAAGTTGCTTATTTCGGGGTCATTGAAGATTATTCATTGAAGATAAACCTTTTCTAATAATATTTAATAATAACACTTTTTCATAATATTGGGCTAATTCCTAAACCTAATGGTGATATTCTGTGGATGATATGATGAGCAGTCTTGTTCCAAAGATTCATTGGTATTTGCAGTGAAGAACTACCCTGTGTGTGCCCTGTACATCCTTACTTTATACTGTTCTTTTTGGCTTAGGTGGTAGATATTAATTTAACAGAATAAATACTCTTAATTTCTGGTGTTTTGAATCTCATTTGAGGCTAATTGTTAAAAACACTACTTCAGGGCCCTTCCTGTTGGCGCAGCGGGTTAAAGCACAGCACAAAAGAGCTTAAGCCACTTCCGCATGAGTTCGATTCCCGCCTGCCCGGGAGGTGACCACATGGCGCAACTGCTTCTCTCCTCAGCAGTGTACTTTGTCGATCTGCCTGTTCTGTACCCCACTCTGTCTCTGGTGAATCCTCTCACCCTCTGCATCTCTGGCCTGTACCCCAGTTCTGTACAAATAAATAAATCTTTAAAAAATAAAAATAAAAAAAAAACACTACTTCAAAATTTCTCACCTATGTAATTAATTGCCTCACTTGTCCATCCCCTCAAATGTGAACCATGTAGCTTCTACATTTTAAACATAAAAAAGAAACTATCACAAAATGCCTCTTTCTTTAGAATGTTGAATGACATTGAGCAGTGACACTCTGACCTTCCCTGAGACTCAAGTCACTTTCTACTTACTTATCATTAAGGTATCATGTGGTTTGGGGATCCTGCAAATATTATTTTAATAGTCTAGTTAGTGTAGCATATGCTCAAATTTTTAAAAAGACATGTTTTTTCATTTAACAGATTTTGTCATCATCAAATTATTCTTATGAGATGTATTTTAATGCATATGTTTTTTGAGCACACAAATAATCAATACTTAATTCTAAAATTCTAAAAATACTACATCAAGTCAGACTTGGTATATGACAATAATAGGTGATTTACAAAACAATTTTAGTAACATTAAAGGAAATATTAACAAAGACATTATCTTAAGAATTACAGTCTAGAGCAGTGGGCTTTGTGTTTGTAAACGACGAATGCTATTCGGTATGCATGTTTGAAAACATCTTATTTATCTTTACAGGAGCAATTGGTTACATGGGAACAAGTGCCTTTGTCCGAAAAATCTATACTAATGTGAAAATTGACTAGAGACCCAAGAAAATCTGGAACTTCGGATCAAAATGGGGTGGAACTTGCACAGCATAAAGAGCAAGAAGAGATTTGGGCTTTAACACTGGGTACTCTGTGGGTCTCTCTTTCGTGGATGACTTAAAGTAACATCTATTTCCATTGATCCTAGGTTCTTATTGACTGCTTTCTCCAACTGTTCACAGCAAATGCTTGGATTTTATGCAGTAGACATTACTACAGTACATGGCTAATCTTCCCAAAAACTAGCTCATTAAAAATGAAATAAACAAGCTCTCTTCAGTGAAGAGGACAAATAGTTTATTTAAAGCATTTGTTCAAATAAAATTAATAGGGGGAAATGCGGATGCTAAAATTACATGACTAGAAATCTTCCTGGCACTTAGTGTTTCTACATTATTGAACAATGATGTTCCAGAAAGATTACTTTTTTTCTCTTATTTTTATTGCCATTGTCAATCTGTTGTGGGACATTTTTATATATTGAATCTGGGTTCTTTTTTGACCTGCTTTTTTTTTCTCCCAACTCAACTGCATCCTTTTTTTTTTTTAAGTGAGAATTAAAAATCAATCCTGCATGTAATATATATCTGCTGTCATCTTAGTTGGACCAACTTTATTTATCTTAAAACTATTCAGTTAATTTTAATTCCATCCAAAGAAGATACAGTCTGAAGATAGAGATGTACTCTCTATAATGCAATTTACTGTACAGTTAGAAAGCAAAGTGTTAAATGGAGAAGATACTTGTTTCTATTAAACATTTTGAGATTTAGATAAACTACATTTTAACTGAATGTCTAAAGTGATTACCCCTCCCCCCTCTTCCCACATTAGTCTTACATTTTTTTTGGATTTGAATGAAGGTTTTACATAAGAAATTATTAAAAATGGGGGGTGGGTAATAAATGTATATAACATTAAATAATGTAACGTAGGTGTAGATTCCCAAATGCATTTGGATGTAAAGATTGACTACAGAGTACTTTTTTCTGATGATGATTGGTGTAGAAATGTTTGAATTTGGATGGCTTTTTACATCTTGCCTACCATTGCATGAAACATTGGGGTTTCTTCAAAATGTGTGTCATACTTCTTTTGGGGGGGGATTGTTTTCTTCTGTTTCTTCTCTGGGACTCCTACAGGAGCTAAATTTGTAATTTAGAAACATCTAATTTTGTTAATCCTGTCTGGGGCACTTAAATAACATCTAAAGCATTACTGCTTTAGAATGTTAAAATAAAATTTCCTGACCAAATTGTTTTGTGAAAATAGATGTGTTTGCAATTTGAAGATAACTTTTTAAAAAGGCAATATTACTGAATGCGATTTTTAAAAGTACACTATAAACTATACTTTTCTAATACAGGGAACACCCACTTTAAAATCCCCAAACTTGCTTACATCTAGATTGTCCAGTATAGTCACCAAGTGAATGACAAGCCCTTTGAATGAAATTATGGCACAAAATCTGTTCAGGTTGGTGTACCATGTAAAGTGGGAATGGGGTGAAACTGGTTAGCTGATTCCTGGATGAGCAAATAAAGGTTGCATTTTAATAAAGAAGTAGTTTTAATTTGAATACATCTTTTGGGACTATCCATAATGTGAAGTTCTCCTAGAACCATTGAGTATCTAGTTTAATAGTTTGCTATGCAAATGACCAGTTGAAACAGTATTGTATATTAGTTTTTAGATAGGCCGGAAACAGCTGTATTTAAATCTTAATGTGAAACTCCTGCCGTCAGAAGTTACATAAAATGTTTTCATTAAAAAAATGTTTTTATAAATTAATCAAGTCTACACTCTATAGTATGAGATGTAAAAACTATACCGAGTGAAAAGTTTGTTTTCTTACCAGTTAAGTATAGCTGGCATGGGAAAACAAGTCTGATAAGACGCTAGAGGTAAATCCTCTTCTTCAACCAAAATGTTACATTAAATGTAACCCGCCAGTTCTTCCAGTTTCTCTTCCTCCTTACCGGCAAATACCATCTTAATCTGAAAGTCAGTATTTAATAATGACTTATGTAATTTTTAACTCCATGTAAAGTAATTTTAACAACATATAGTCTGTCTGATAGAGTATATAAATTGGATAGCAAGCTTTTATCTTAATAAAATTAAAATTTGTTTCATGATTTTGTAGGTACGAGGTAAGGTTTTTAAGGAATGAGTGTGTTAGCTGCTTTCAAATACATAAGTCTAAATTGAACACTATTGCAATCTTAAGTGAAATTAGTTTTTTCCAATTTTCCAGATACATTGAGTTCCATTGGAATGACTATAAATCTCCTTGAAAGTCCTTTAAAAATTTGTGTTAGTGTATGACTTCATAGAGGGTTTGGATGTGTTTCTGTATCTAGAGAAGCACTAATTTACCAATGCTCTAGCTCCCTAGCTCTCAGATATAGAATAATAAAGTAGAATATTATTTAATTAAAGGGTTTCTACTCCATTTATGCCATGTATCTTTCATTCACCATTATTTGCTCAACTTACCAACTGATGCTTTGAGCACTATCAAAAATTCCGAATAAGTTTTCCTCTTTTATCTGTAAGCATGCTTCTCCTGATATTTAGCTACATCAGTAGTTGTCATTGTTACACACATATCCTAGTACAAATGTAGGATGAGGTGGAACTACGATGCTTAGCCAGTAAACCATTCTTTAGTGTATCGTGCTGGGCTCCTTGAATTGCCCATAAATCAACCCCCATCCTCTTAAAATCCGTTATGTGGTGGTGATAGCTGAACCTAGTGAATGGTCCGCTTGGGTATTCTCAAATGGATGGACCTCTGTATAAATGTGGTTGCTGCAAATTCTAGTTCTTCCAAAAGCCACTTTATTTAGAGTTTATCCACAACTTATATTCATTTTGATAGAAAATTTTGTTTTCTAAATGTTTACTAACCACCTTATGCCAAATGTCTTGCAAATTTTATTTTTAACTTTCTTGAATTTTTACAAATGTAAAAAAGAGACACTGTTTTAATGTAATTTGTTTAGGAAAAACTACATACTGAAGGGCTGCTTCTGTATATGATTTCTGGGAAAGAAAAACCTATTTGTAATGTGCATACTACAGTTGCATCTGGTTTTTAGGTTTAGATTTCAGCATTAATATTTCATTTTGTTGATTTTGAGACAAATAGTTAATAGAAGTGTATGATATATGAAAGCACAGTATTCATTAATGTTTTACATCTTCCTAAAAGTTCCATAGCTATGAAGCTATATTTTAACAATGAAGATGTTAAAGAATCAAAGAAATGAAAATTTAAAAAGATTGTTTGGAATTGTGTACAGAAATAGTCTAGATTTAAAGGTAGGGTAGATATCTACAGAAAGTTAACATAGCTGCAGAAATTTTGTAAGATTCAATTTAAAACTCAAGAATAATTCTTTTCCATTTTTCTAAAAGCCATCTGATTTAACATTATTATTGGAGCTGTAGGCAGAAGTGTGCAAAGACAAAGTAAAATTTCAGTTCTTATTTGACTGTCTTAGGAAATGGAAAAAAAATCATGAAGGCATCTGACAGTCAAGTATTGATGAACTAAACTTGCTAACAGATTGATGAGGCAATGTGTGTTATCCCAGTTCATCAGTATAGGTCATTTGGAAGTCATAAATGTTATAAGAAAGAGCTGAAGATAGGAAAGATAGAACACAGAATTCTATTTGAAGGATAACAATATACTTGGAAAAGCAGGCCCACTTGGGCTTTTCAACTGTGACAACCTTGACTTTAATAATCCCCACAGAGCATGGACAATCGGTGACATAGTTGGAAGGAAATAACTATTCCTTGATGATTGCTTCCATTTTGTACACACTCTGGATTTGTGTAGGCCATTATGCCAATTGACTTTTTAGTAATAGAAATCCAGTATATAATGTATCAGATACATTTGAGATTCTAATCTAGTCTGTTAATCTAATTAAAGGTGGATTTTTAAAAAGTAATAAACAGTTAAATGTACTTCCCTTGAATGCTTTATTTCTTTCATAGGCAAACAAACACAAAAGAGAACCAATTTTATTGGTGTTCATATGGAGATATTACTAATAGCTTTCCATTGTTAAATAAATCAGGCATCAGCAAGCTTTTTCTGTAAAGGGCTTGATAGAAAATACTTGATATTTTGCAAGTGGGTCTCTGTCACAGCTTCCACTGTGCGTGACAGCCGTGGGCAGCAGCATAGAAGCCAGTGAGGATGGCTAGGTCCAGTATAATAGCAACAGCAGCCAGTGGACCAGTTTGCTGACACCTGAAATAAAGGATTTAAAATTTAAGATTAGATCGCTCCTCCCAACACTTTATTTTGCAAGAATGCACAGTGGAAAAATGATACAATATCTAAGGTTTATCTTTTTAAAAATGACTTTTCTCCTTTATCATTGTTGACTTTATTTAAATATAACCTCCAGTGACTCCACTGGAGCCCCACTTACCTTATACCCCCCATCATTCTCCTGATAGTAGCCTGCATTTGTCTAGCACATCACTTTTTCAAAGCAGTTTCACATATGTTCTTTACAACTATTCTGTGAAGCTGATACGGCAGACACATTCTATAGGTAAGAATCTAGAGTAATTTAAAGGGAGCGCTCATTTTTAGCCCCAGAGTTACCAAAGTTAGGGTTTTGGCTTCTGTAATATCAAATGTAGACACCCCCACTCCAGCACATAACATAGAGATAATGTTAGAAATGAGTGTTTTATATTAACGGGGGTGGCTTTTTGTGCGATGTCAAAGTCAATTTCTCCAGGTCTATCTATCTTGTGTTTGTTTTCACCTCCAGTTTTAACCAGTTACTCAAATTCTTGTGAACCTCCTTGGTTATTTTCTCTTCCTGATTTTATTAGCTGCTTTAGTGGAAACCTATAGTTGACTGTTCTGTTAGCCAAGTAATTGTACCAAGTTAAAATTGGTACAAATTTGAATCATTTTTGATATCTTCAATGAAATACAATTTTGTCTTTCTGAGAAACTAGAGGTATAAGAAGATCTGTTTGCAGCTAGTTTCTAAATTGCAAAGTCAAAAATATTTCACTGAGCTGTTAATCTGTGGTTTAATGTTAGAAAGTGGGGAATTAATTCTACATTGGATATGAGAGTCAATGGTAATACAGTCCACAAATATATTTAAAATGATTTTCATGAGAGTTTCAAGTCTTAAAAATGGAAGAGATGCTGTATATAATTTTAACTGGTCATTTTAATTTTAGTAGTGCATTCTTTAAGATTATGGGACTTAAACATTGTAGGGAAGGGAGGGTCTCTAAAAGTGAGAAATGGAAGGCAACTGACTCCAAGTTGGAATTGCTCAGTAAGGTCTGCAGGTTATAGCCTGAGTAGGGTAGGACAGATGTGGGGTCCTCAGTGGTGGAGCTGCTATAGTAGATGTTGACACAATGATACAGGCTGTAAACTTCTCAAGTTGTCCAGGCAAACACAGGAGTTGTGAAGCAGCAAAGCCTTCGTAGGATGACTGCAAGATGCTTGATGCAGCCAGACTGGGGAGGAAGAGGGGTTAAGAACCAAGGCTGGAAAGTTAGAAGGGAGCCCTGAGAGTGCGTGGGGGCCTCAGGGACCACTCTGAAGAGCGGCTAACGGTGTAAGTTTTAGATAGATGCTCAATATTGTATATATTAAAAGTTATTTTTCCAAATAACTCAGTATCTTACCAGCGGTCAGTAATGTGAACTAAGGAATGAACCAACAAATGAGAGCTACCATTTTACACTGGATCTTCTGCTTTCTGACTGGGAGAAGCTACTGATGTGTAGTGGTCCACAGAGGAGAAAATCATCAAGGTGGTAGACCTGGAGGGGTTTGAGACCTGCTTTGAAAGAACTTGGTTCTTCTGGCAACCGGGGCAGAGATGAACTAACTTGGCTGGAAGACAGGCGGGAAGGGGGAGGAAGGTTGTATCCACTTGTAGGTTTCCATAGGACAAGGATGCTATGGGAGGGGGGTACCCACAAATACGTTTAATGTAGTTATGGAACTAAATTGAGCAGCTTCATATCATAAAGCCTTTGTGCTACTTCTACCTCTAGCTTTCTGATGGGAGTTATTAAAGAAAATTATAATTTAGAAACTTTGAGCCAAGATTAGGGTTTATTATGTAAACTCTGAGTGAAACCAAAAACCATGAGAGAAAATAATAACCATCCCTTTTCAGTGTTTCCTTCATTCTTTCTACTCCATATGCAAGTACTTTCTGGTATTTGTTGGTTTAGTGCCAAACTGACAAAACTACCACTTGCTCATCCAGGAGCACAGCTGTCTTTAAAATGTTTGGTGAGTGTTGGTGAGAAGACCTGACAGCTACACCAGGTGGGAATCAGAGGTGCAGTAAAAGCACATCTCCTCAGTCGCTTGCACAAGAGGTCGCCTGTAAGGTCCCTTCTAATGAGGAAGCCACTTGGTGGTTTGCTTGGTGCCATCTGGAGACCTGGAAGTGTTAAGTCTTTGTGCTGTTGACTTTGTAGATTTGTCTACTGACAGGTGGTGACCTTCACTGGTTTACGAATGCAGAAAACGGTGGCGTTGGGTTTGACTCCTGCCGTCCATTAGACAGAAATAACTGTTCGACTCCCACACCTACTGCCTGTTTAATGGCTTTCCTTGCCATTTGGTGGCCTTCCTCCCTCTCCCCCCACAAATTGCTTTCTCCTCCGTGTCAGTTCCCAATCAGATCCTGCCCTCTGTCCACATTGTGTGTGCGCCTGTATGGTGAAAAGTTAATATGAAGCAGAGACAATTTTCATTTTCTAAAAGCCAGATCAAAAAATCCTGTAGCACACTCTTCCGGTGGTTCACTTATAAGCTTTTACTGGTTTGATCGACCTGTTACCCTTGCTAACAGATGAAAATGGTAATGCAGGAAATTCAGGATTCAGTGTAAAGCTGACTCCTGCCCTGGACACCTGAACGATTTTGTTGATAGTGACTGTGAAACCACCTGGAAACCCAAAAGGGAAGTTAAATCCATTTTTCTCCTTGTAACTTAAGTGAAAAAAAATTTACACTGGATGTGATGTTGGAAATCTACAGATTGGTGTATTTTACTTTATAGGGCCAGTTTTTGCTGGCATAAAATGGTCTTTGAAAAGCCTCACGGTAATAAATCAAAACGGCCCACTTAGAATTTTTACATGTCAGGTACAACATAGGAGTGGGTTTGACGCCTTGTTTTTTTTCCCCCTAAATTATGTGGGCCTGTTTTTAATTGGCAAAAAGTAACTATACTTCAGAAGCTGGTCATTTTTATTCCACCAGGCTCTAAGAATGGTGTTTTAATAAAATATGTCTGTAATTAACACAAATACTTCGTACAACTGTTCATTTGCCAATCATTCAGCCAATGTGAAGCATCTTAGACTTGTACTAAAGGATAGGATCACCTCGTGGGGCAACTCTCCTTTTAAATTATTCTTCCTGTCTATCGCCAGCCAGGTTGTCTTGGGGGGTGCTGCAGCAAGCACCTTTCCCGGCATGGGAATCATAATCCTTTATTCCCACCCCACTCTTCCCCCCCCCTCGCCCCGCCCCGTTTCCCCTCCCCCGACCCCCACCCCCCCAAACACACGCACGCTCTGAGCTATCTGAGAGACGCTCACTTTATCGCGGAGGAGAGCGATTGGCCGAAAGCACGCAGTGCTTGGTACAGGCTCTGAGCTCTCACCACTGCTGTCGGCCTTCGCCCACGTGTGCGCCAGGAGTAGTAAAGAGTGTTGTGAGAATAAAACAAGGCGGGAAGTCCAGCCTTGGTCTTAAGCAGCAGTGCGCTCAGAGGCCGAGGCCGAGGCTGGCGTCCCGGGAAGGTCGCCCTCGGGTGCTGGAAGCCCCGCGGACCCTGGGTCCCTGCCCGCAGCATCTTCACATCGCTCCCCTTCCTCCGAAGTTGCGGAGGTGCCGGGAAGAGGAGGGGCCTTGCCTGGGGCGCCTGAGTGATTGGCTGCCCCGGGCCCTTGGCGAGGGCTGTGTGGTCCAGCCCGGGTGGAGAGGGGCGGAGCGGCCACTGCTCCCACCACCGCCACCACTGCCACAGTCGCAGCCGCAGCAGCCTGGGCCGCCAGGCAAGTCGCTCCTGAGCGGCGGCTTCCTGGGCGCCCCGACGCGTCAGGGGGCGCCGCGCTCTGCTCGCTCCGCGCGCGAGCCATGCCTGGCAGCCGCGCGTAATCGCGCCCCAGTCGCCGCCGACCCGAACCGGTGCGCGGTGCCTCGCCCGAACCGAGCTCTCGCTGCCCGCAACTCCGTGGGTCTCTGCCGGCGCCTCGCAACCATGCCCCGGGCGACTGCGCTCGGGGGCCCTGGGCCACGGCCGCCGCCTCCCGCGCTGCTGTTGCTGCTGCTGCTGCTGCTGCTGCCGCTGCCCCGAGACGCCGGCGGGGTCGGGGACGACTCGGCCCCAGAAGGCGCGGAGAGCGCGGAGCAGCAGCTGGAGCATTACCACGACCCGTGCAAAGCCGGTAGGTGCCGCCGCCGCTGCCGCCGGGAAGTCCGGCAGAAGTTTGCCTTTGAAATGTAAATAGGGTGGTGGGCGAGCCGGCGCGGCCGTCGGTGGGGCGGGTCTCCCTTCCCCTCCCCGAGGTCCCCCGGGCTCCCCGGGGAAACAATGCCCCAAAGGAGCTGCTCAAACGCCTCTCTGACTGGGACGCCCGGGCCCTGGTGTGGGGCGCGCACCGGCCGCGCTCGCGGGGTGTTCCCCGCGCCTCCCCGAGCGGTCGCCGGCGTCCGGGAGGCCGCTCGCGGGCTGGAGCTGGCGCCCCGGCCGCCTGACAGCCAGGTGGTCGGCACCGGCCGCCGCGCGACAGGGCTGGAACTGAGGAGCGGGGCTGGGCGCGGCGGCCCCAGGCGCCAGGCTCGGATGGAGTCGCAGGCTCGGATTTCACGGCAGTTGTTAAGTTTAGCGCAAACTTTCCCTAGAGGGTATGGGTACTCTGGGGAAGAGAATAAAAACCGAAAAGCTTCACAGCAGGCAAAAAGAAAGGGTTGCCGAGGGAGAATGTGCACGACTCAAATTGCCGGGAACTTCGCCGGGACTCGGTTGGGGCCCTGGGGTCGCCCTGTGTGGGTAGAGATAGAAGCCGGCAGGTGCACTAATCCCGCCAGGAAGCGGCTCCCCGGGACGCGCGGGTCTTTCTGGCACATATCGCAGCCCCGGGGCGCTTCAGCTCCCGCTTCGCTTCCCACGAGCCACCGACTGATTCGACTGGAGTCTCGAGGGGAGCGGCTGCCGCGCCAAAGTAGTTGAGGCGTCAAACCCAGAAGGTTCAGACGCCGGTTACAGAGAGCCGATGGGCTCTGGGACAAGCTGCTGGGCGAGGGTGGTCCCAGAGACCCGAGTGGGTCGTGGCCAGTCCCAGGGCTTCGCTGGAGGCGCTGTTTGTGCCCACGTTGGTGCGCTGGTTTCTTGGCGACCTGCAGAGATGGGCGCACCTGAGGGAAGAGTGCAGCCGCCATCTTCAGAAGGGTGCTGGGCAAGGTGCCGCGGGGCCAGAGTCTGTGACAGTGCCTGGGCCAGCAGCCCCACTCCCTGGAGACCTGAGGGAACCAGTTTCCTCATTTCTCAGTTGGGGCCAGGAATTATAGGAAGACCGTGCTATATGGGGGATTTCTGTAAATGGAATAATGATCACTGCACGGTACTACATCTGTTGCTACTTCCACAACTGTGGTCAAAGCTGTAGTTGGGAACATCAAACTGGGTAAAGCCTGGGCAAGAACTAGGGGGCGGTGAGATGAGGATCTTGTGAAGGTTGAAGGTCAAAGCGGCCTTGAGGGGTCTGGCCTTAACAAGTGGGAAGATTCCTCCAGAGCATCCCGCTCTTGCTGGACCTCGTGGGGTTTCTGACAGGAAGGTGGCCCACACAACGAACTCGTGAGAGCTGGAGAGAATATCCGCAGGGAGCATGCCCTGCATGAGGCCCTTCGCAGGCACCTGGCTCGTGAGCACTGTGGAATGGCGACTCTGCCCTGACTAGAGGGACACTGAGGAGAGGGGGCAAAGCAGGTGGGCAGACCATCACCCGCACTGGCAGGGGATGAGAAGTGGAGGCCCCAGGGGAGAGTGTGGGCGGCTGGGACCTGGACCTGAGAGCTGACCAGGCTTCTTCTGGAATGGCCTCAGCCCCTCGAGTCTGCCAGGTAGCTGTCAGGGAAATGTAGTTCCAGGTGAGAGAGGCATAGGTCTGTCCAGGGAGCTCCCACGTCAAGTCTCAGGCCTAAAGGAAGAATCTTGAGTCAGATACGCCCATTGAGGCCTCAGTTTTCTCCTGTAATTTTGGAGAAAATGTTGGATAACCAAGGATGTGTGCTCTGTGATTTTTTTGTTTTAAGATTTATTTATTTATGCATTCAGAACTGGGGTACAGACCAGAGGTACAGGGGCGATGAGAGGATTTACCAGAGGGAGAGTGGGGCAGATCTGGTAGACCGCAGAGGGGAGCAACAGGTGAGACAGGAGAGGTCTGCTGCGCCATGTGGGTCAGCTCCAGGGGCAGTGGATTGAACTCGCCCTGAAGCGGCTATGGCCACCTTGCAGTACTGCGTCCTAACCCGTTGTGCCACCAGGGAGGGCTCTGTTCTGTGGTTCTTAACAAGGTGGGAGAGGCAGCAAGGTGGGAAGTAGAGTGAGAGTGTGGTTTCCACCCGCTCTGTGCAACTGCACAGCCTTCCCAGGCTTCCCAGCCCTGGCCTCTCCACAGGGTGTGCGGCTGCTAGGAGTGGCCAGAAGAGGGCGATGGCAAGGGGTTCTTAGGGTAGCATCTCGGTCTGGAATGCCCTGAGCAGGGAACAGCTTCTGGAAGGACAACAAGCAGTACCTCCATCTCAATCAGTGGGTGTGTTTTGGGGAGCCGGGGGGGATGGCAGGAGGACATTGCCTTTCTTGGTTACATATTAAAGCCAAATCTTGAGAAGAAGCCTCTCCTTCTGCCCCACTCATAGCCTAACTCCTCCAGGGCCTAACTGCAAGCCTTCTTCTAGGACCTGCTTTGGGGCTTCAATCTCAAACACATCCCACCTGCTCTTTCCTGAGTGCTTGCAGACAGGAGAGTCTGCATCTGTTCCTGGCCTCTCGGGAGCTGTGTTACCATGGGTGAGTGCCCTCATCTCTGGGCTTCAGTTCCTCATCTGTAGAATGAAGATGTTGGACTTTAGGGTTGCGGCCTGGTGGGTCCAGAAAGCTGGTTCCTTAGCCTGAACCAGCCATCTTGCCTCACGCTCTCTTCACATCTCTGGGCACCTGGGTCTCTGCCCCAGGGCTGTCTTACCTGTGCTCCATGGATCTGTGGTCTTTTCTTACAGCACAGTCTCTTAGAGGCTCACCAAACTAGTGAGCTTTACCATTTATAATTTTACTTTTCCCTTTTTTGCATCACTTTCACCATTTACATTGCCATTATAACTAAGTCTGCTCCTTAGTTTCCTCATTTGTAAATAAGGATGGTTCCTAGTAGGTGATACACACTTAAAATGGCGGCTGACTTAGAGCCATAGAAACTTCTTGAACTATCTTCATGCTGACCTCAAAGCAAGCTTTAAACTGTGACGTTTATATTTACTAATAAACAATCTATTTTGATGATATAAAACAGGATGCTTTTAAAGAACAAATGGTCATGAAGAGGGAGTGAATCCGTGAAGTCCTTTGGCCTGAGGCTGGTCAGGTGCATGGAGCTTCCCGGACAATCAGACGGAAGCTGTACTTCCCTTTATGACCTTGCTGCGTAAACCATACGTTGTCCCTTCCTCCATGGGCCCAAGCTCTCCCGGCTCAAGGGGAGGGGACACGAGCCCCTCCCTCCATGGCAGCGGTGTTGAAGCCGTGCTGTTAAGGGGTACAGTGGAGTGGAGGACACTGTTGCAGCCACTTTGGGGAGGTAGAGCCTGGCCACTCCGCAAGGACTGACTTCCCTGGGGCCTCGCCTTTCCCGCACACAGCTGCAGTGAGCACTGTAGAAAATCTTCTCAGGCAGGAAGGTGGGAGAGATGCTGGGGTGTGAAGACCCACCCAGCTGAGCAGCAGGCACACGATTCGGCAGTTTGGTCACCAAGATTTGTCCACAAATGACATGAAGGTGCTTTGTGAACTGTAAAGTGCTGTACAGCCTTTTGAGTTTACTCAGGCCCAGGGAAGCTTGATGGCCAGCTTCCCAGCTGGTGGCTTGAGAAATGCCAGGCCTTCCTGGCTGCTGTGTGTTCAGATACATGCACACATCTTAACTGTGCGTCCCGGCACAGCCAGCGGCCCCTGGTGGCCGTGGCTCAGGACCTTCTGGGAGGGTGCTGGCCTACGAGCTGGCTCTACCCTCATGAGGAGCTTTGGATTCCCACCCCACGCTTTCTGCCTGAGTTCGGGGCCCGACGCCATGTTGTCATTCTTTCCAAGACACAGTAAACTTACCACACAGGCCCTCGTTCCCTGGGTCACCGGAGCCCCCTAGGACAGCACTCGGGGCAGCCCCTCCACCCCCACACTGTGGGAGGCGAGGTCTGTGTCTGCTCTGGTCACTGCTCGAAGCCCAGTGGGCACTTGCCGATGGTTGCTGAATGCGGGAGTGATGATGTGGACTCTGTGTGAATTGGGTTCATGGTGCAGGAACCTCCAAGTTCACTGTCAGCCCAGAGTACAAAGCTGCCCTGGCCTGTTGGAGTTCACAGCGTGGAGCTGGGGTCCTGCAGGGTTGGGCGCTGCACCTCTGGTTTCCACAGCAGGCACCAGGTGCTAAGCACAGCATCTAGCGTAGCCCAGGGCCCAGCACGTCTCCCCCTGCAATGCAGTGGTGAAGAGCACAGGTTTTGAAGTCTGATAGACCTCGTGTCAAAATGTGTCACCTGTGCAAGGCTTTGCAACCTTGAGTGAGTTACTTTAGTTCTTTAAGCCTGTTTCCTCACTTGGAGAGAACCACTGTTACTCACTTTCCAGGGATGCTACAGGAGTGAAATGACACAGTGTCGAGTGCATAGCACAGATTCTGGTGCAAGACGAGTGCTTGATGATGATACGTACATTGTTAGAAAGCAGCGCAGGTGTTCACAGATACGTCTTGAGCTTTGTGAAATGCTGCAGAGGAATTTGGATTTTGTAGTAAGTGAACAATTGGTTGTATGTAGTGTGAATTTTATGTGAGTTGTAATGCAACGAAGATATCTTCCTTTGTTTATTTAGGATGGGCCAGGGGCAGAAGTGGGGGAGGAATGCGCTGTCCTGTCTCCTGAATAACTGAGATGCAGCTGCCAGAGCTGCGGAGTCAGTTCGGCCAAGCAGGCAGGGAGAGTGTAGCCTTCAGATGCCAAACAGAGGCTGCAGCCGTGGCCAAGACTCCACCGGGGTGGCCAGCGTCTGGGAGAGGAGAGGCTGGGAAGGGGAGCGCGTTTCGGGCCTCTTTTGGACAAGGATGTTCCAAGAGCTGAATGACAGCAACACCCCCTGGCCCCCACTGGCCTTCAGTCCAGCCCAGAGCTG